CTGGGGGCGCGCCCAGAGCGCAGGTCCAGCCTCCGCCCGGGGTCAGCTGGAAGGAGGAGGCGCGGCCCGCAGTCCCCCCGGCCCAGGTTCTGTGATACACTCCGACTCGGGCTCTGGAGCAGTCAGTGCATGACAGAACTTGGGCCCGGAAGGACCTTCTGCACCCAAGGGGCACAGCGCCCACCGGGGCCTGCAGTGGAACATCTGCCCGGGAATGGAGTGGGTGCGCAGGAGGTGGCCCTTGTGACTGGGCTGGAACGAGCTGTGGGCCTTTGGGGCTGGGGTCGCTGGAGCCTGAGGACGTACTCTCGGGCCAGCAGATCCCAGAGGGACAGGGTGTCCGCCTTGAGTCGGGCCAAACGGAGCTCTCCTCCTCGGTGTCAGTTGCAGGAACCTTCCCTCTACACCATCAAGGCTGTTTTCATCCTAGATAATGATGGGCGCCGGCTGCTGGCCAAGGTAACCCCCGACCCTACCCCTGGAGGGACAGTGCTGCAGCCCAAAGAACAGCAGTCCCCACCCAGCTGACACTCTCATCTCAGGAGAGACTCTACTGTGAGCTCTGTGACTCAAGACACCTCAGCTTAGACCCCTCAGAGGTCATTCTGTCCAGCCTCCTGCCTCATCAAGCTGCTGGCCCTGAACGGGAGGGGTCCCCTCTGTTTCAACTTACATTCCCTGAAGTGTTTTCTTTCATCCACGAACTGGCCAGCTGGATCCTGGCGTGGGAAGGTTCTGCCTACCAAGTCAGTGGAGTGTGGAGCCTGGGACCCAGGAATCTTAGTCCCCAAAACCCCAAACAAGGAGCCTTCACTTTTGTTCTATAGCTTGGTAAACACTAAGGATTTAGTCCAAGGAGTCTAAGGATTTAGAACCAGATGGGATTTTCGAGGCCGAATTACCCAACTCTTTAATTTCACAGGTGAAGAAAATGAGGTGTCAAAAAGCTAAGTGAGTTGCCTGAGGTCACAAGTATCAATATCATAACAGGGATCTAAACTCAGCGGGTTTTTTTTTTATTTAAAATTTTTATTTTTTTTACCCCTTCCATATCATAGGTGGACAAACTCAGGTTTATTTTTATTTTTATTTTTGAGTTGGAGTCTCACTCTGTTGCCCAGATTGGAGTGCAGTGGCTCGCTCCCGGCCACCCCAGCGTCAGCCTGCTGGGCTCTGGCGATCCTTCCGCCTCAGCCTTCCAAGTAGCTGGAACTACAGTCACGCGCTACCACGCCCGGCTAATTTTTTGATGTATTGCAGAGATGAGGTCTCACCAAGTTGCCCAGGTGGGTCACGAACCCATGGGCTCAGGCAATCCACTCGTCTCAGCTTCCCAAAGCGCAGGATTGCAGGCTGAGCCACCGAGCCTGGCAAACTCAGGTTTTTGACATGAAGTTCAAGGTGGTTTTTAGGGCACTCCCATCCGATTATATGATATTTATCTTAGTGAACATGGCTTGAGTAAATTAAACTCAAATAATCAAAAAATAATTGTTTTCTAAGTTGGGGTCTCACTCTGTTGCCCAGGCTGGAGTGCAGTGGCATGATCACAACTCACACTGCAGCCTTGTCTTTCTGGGCTCAGGCGATCCTTCTGCCTCAACCTCCCAAGTAGCTGGGACTATAGGCGTATGCTATCATGCCTGGCTAACTTTTTGATTTTTTTTTTTTTTGAGTGAGAGTCTCACTTTGTCACCTAGGCTGGAGATGCTGCTCACAGCCACTGCAGCCTCGACCTGCTGGGCTCAGGTGATCCTTCCACCTCAGTCTTCCAAATAACTAGAACTACAGTCGTGTGTCACCACACCCAGCTAACTTTGATTTACTGTAGAAATGAGGTTTCACTATGTTGCCCAGGCTGGTCTCAAACTCCTGGACTCAAGCAATCCTCTCGCCTCAGCCTCCCAAAGTACTGGGATGACAGGCGTGAGCCACAGAACTTGGACTCAGAAATAAATTTCTACCATCAACTGTTGTGGAGCGATAGCAGCTAAATTAGGTATGAAATGCATTATAGATTTTCTGCTTGTTTGTTTGCAGCTGCAACTTTTTTGTCTTCATGACATTCAAATGAATTTGTTCACCACAGCAAGGGCCAGCAGGGACATTGCTAATTTGCCTGCAGATCAAGTACATGTATGGCAAATCCACACCCAGAAAATTGAAAGCTTAGCTGACTGCATCATGCCCTAGCAGATGGTCAGAGGTAGATCAGCAGTACCAAAGGCCCCGGGGCCTCCTCTCAGCAGAACCTATCCATGTTACAGATTAAGAAACTGAGTCAGAGAGAGAGGCTTACCAATCCCCAAACAAAACACCATTGATTTAATTATGGAGTATATGCCAAGAACTTTTTTTCTTTTCTTTTTTTTGAGTCAGAGTCTCACTCCGTCACCCAGGCTGGAGTGCAGTGGCAAGCTCATGGCCACCCCAGCATCAACCTGCTGGGCCCCAGTGATCCTTCTGCCTCAGCCTTCCAAGTAGCCGGAACTACAGGCATGCACTACTTCCCAGTACTTTGGGAGGCTGAGGCGAGAGGATTGCTTGAGTCCAGGAGTTTGAGACCAGCCTGGGCAACATAGTGAGACCTCATTTCTACAGTAAATCAAAAAGTTAGCTGGGTGTGGTGACACACGCCTGTAGTTCCAGCTATTTAGAAGACTGAGGTGGAAGGGTCACCTGAGCCCAGCAGGTCGAGGCTGCAATGGCTGTGAGCTAATTTTTTATTTTATTTTATTTTATTGTAGAGGCGAGGTCTCACTAAGTTTCCTGGGCTGATCTCGAACCCGCAGGCTTGGGCAATCCACTTACCTCGGCCTCGCAAAGTGCTGGGATTACAGGCTGAGACACTGAGCCTGGCCTTTTCTTTTCTTTTCTTTAATTTAGTTGGAGTCTCCCTCTGTCGCCCAGGCTGGAGTGCAGTGGCATGCTCACAGCCACCACAGTCTCAACCTGCTGGGCTCAGGCGATCCTTCCACCTCAGCCTTCCAAGTGGCTGGAACCACAGGCATGTGTGACCATGCCTGGCTTATTTTTCGATTTATTGTAGAAACGAGGTCTCGCCAAATTACCCAGGCTGGTTTTGAATCCCTGGCATCAGACAATCCTCTTGCTTCAGCCTCCCAAAGTGCTGGGATTACAGGCATGAGTCACTGCGCCCAGCCTCTTTTCTTTCTTTCTTTCTTTTTTTTTTTTTTTTTGCGAGACAGGGTCTCACCCTGTCACTAGGCTGGAATGGCACAGTCCCAGCTCACTGTGGCCTCAACTTCCTGGACTCAAGCAGTTCTCTCACCTCAGCCTTCCGAGTATCTGGGACTACAAGTGTGTGTCACCATACCTGGCTATTTTGGGATTTTTTTTTGTAGAGACAAGGTGTTACTATGTTGCCCACTCTGGTCTTGGACTCTTTGGGCTCAATGGATCCTCCCACCTCTGCCTCCCAAAGTGCTGGGATTACAGGCATGAGCCACCATGCCCAGCCAGGAACTTTTCTTTAGATATTTAAGCTTCACCATAACCTTGTCTGAAGCCAGACTGTTCTTGGTGTTGGATCCTAGCTCTGGCTTCACAACTGTGAAATGTTGGAGAAATTACCTGACTTCTTTACGCCTTAGTCTCCCCATCTATATAATGGGGATAACAAAGTGGCTATTGTTATGATTGTTATTGTAGTTTAGGAAGGGCTCTTGGGTTTACCATCTGAGTCTGTAGACTCAGGTTGGTGTAGAAAGTGTGACTTAGTGACTACGCTGGTCCTTAGCACCCTGTACATCTGCTGAATGTACAAGAGCCTCCAAGAAACCAGGAGGAAACTCCAAAAGCAGGCCTCAGTTTTCTAGTTTTTAGGACTTTTGTTATTGAGAATTTATGGGGAAGCAGTGAGCAGACAGGCCTGGAAGACAGAAATGGGGAGATGGGATGTGGCCGCAGATCCCACTTGGCCAGTACCCCCTATTCCCTGCCACCCATCCAGGGAGGAGCCAGGCCCTGTGAAAGGCTATGGCCCCTTCTCCTTCCCTCTCTCCTAGTATTATGATGACATGTTCCCGTCCGTGAAGGAACAGATGGTTTTCGAGAAAAATGTCTTCAATAAGACCAGCCGGACTGAGAGTGAGTGTCCGCCTCTTCCTCCACCAGAGTGCTCAGACACACACCGTCATCTTCCCCATCTGGACACATTGGTCCGTTGGCCTACAACACCCCTAGGCCATTCCCCTTGCTTTGTCCTCTCCTTCCCAGCTGTTCTTCACTCCCTTTCTCCAGGAAACCTCCACTCCCCATCACACTCAAATGCCCTCACCCCACCCCACAGCACACCCAGGCCTCTCTAGCTGAGGAGGCCTACCGTGTGACGGTCCCCCCACCAACCTGGATCTGCACGTCGGGGGAGGGTGGACAGGAGGTCAGCGGGTCAATGACTGGGTTTATTGACTCCTCAGAATGTGGCAGTCCCTAGAAATAGAGGTGGCCAGGCTGAAAGGTCCCTCCACTTCTAGGTGAGATTGCATTTTTCGGGGGCATGACTATCGTCTACAAGAGCAGCATTGACCTCTTCCTGTACGTGGTGGGCTCAGCCCACGAGAATGAGGTGAATTCGGGAGGTTGGGGCCACATGGAGGGTCTATCCCTGGGGGAACTGGCTAGGAATCTGGGGTAGAGGATGGGAGTTGGAGGCTCACCATGGGCACCCCTCCTTCTAGGCTCCAGGGGCAGAGGGGCGCAGCTGGGGTAGCTCTTTCTGGGACAGCATGTATCTGTGATGCCCCTTAGCTTCCTCAGGAACCAGGAAGTCATCACTCCCTGTGCTTCTCTTTTTTTTTTTTTTAAGTTAGAGTCTCTCTCTCTGTTGCCCAGAGGCTGGAGTGCAGTGGCACGCTCCTGGCAGGTGATCCTTCCGCCCCAGCTTTCCAAGTAGCTGAACCTACAGGTGCATGCTACCACACCTGGCTAATTTTTTGATTTTTTATTGTAGAGACGAGGGCTCGCTATGTTGCCCAGGCTGGTCTCGAACCCACGGGCTCAGGCAATCCTCTTGTCTCAGCCTTCCAGAGTGCTGGGATTATAGACTTGAGCCACCACACCCAGCCCTCTCTTTTTTTTTTTTTTTTTTTTTTTTTGAGTCGGAGTCTCACTCTATTGCCCAGGCTGGAGGGCAGTGGCATGCTCACCGCCACTACAGCCTCAACCTGCTGGGTTCAGGCGATCCTTCTGCTTCAGCCTTCCAAGTAGCTGGAACTACAGGCACACACCACCACGCCTAGCTAATTTTTCTTGATTTATTGTAGAGTGGAGGTCTCGCCAAGTTGCCCAGGCTGGTCTTGAACCCATGAACTCAGGCAATCCTCTCACCTCGGCCTCCCAAAGTGCTGGAATTATAGGCGTGACCCACTGTGCTCAGCCCTCTTTTCTTTGAGTCGGAGTTTCACTCTATCACCCAGGCTGGAGTGCAGTGACATGCTCACAGCTACCACAACCTTGACCTGCTGGGCTCAGGCAATCCTTCCGCCTCAGCCTTCCAAGTAGCTGGAACTACAAGTGTTCACCATAACACCTGGCTAATTTTTCTTGATTTATTTTAGAGTCAAGGTCTTGTCAAGTTGCCCAAGCTGGTGCCGAATCTGTGGGCTCAGGCAATCCTCTCACCTTGGCCTCCCAAAGTGCTGGGATTACAGGCATTAACCACCATGTCTGGCCTTTGCTTCTCCCTTAACCATGACTAGAGAAGGGCACCCTCTGTGTCCCCCAGTGGAGCACTCCAGGGTTACCAAACCCAGACACAGGGAAGTTCCCTCTAAGGTCAGACTGCAGTCGGTCTCCAGCCTCTGAAAAGGGAGGACTGCCCATCGCTGCCCACACAGGTTGGCATCAATGAGGGCTTCTTCTGGTCTTCTCAACCTCAAGCTCTCTTGTTTTCCCCCTTCCGCGTCTGCCCATCCCAGCTGATGCTCATGTCTGTTCTCACCTGCCTGTTTGAGTCTCTGAACCACATACTGAGGTGAGTGAGGTCCTCTGTCTTCCAAGGCCCATCTCCCAGACCTTGATGTGTAACAGAGGCATGGCCCTTCCTCCCTGCTTTTCTCCTGAAGTCCCAGCAAGACGAAGAGAATCCAAAAATAAAAGCTCACCGTCGCCACGATTAACAAGGCTATAACATCTAAGCTAGCTATGAAGCAGATTAGATGTCCCGAGGTGGGCATGGCAGTGTCAAGGCCCAACATGTGGGGGTTGGGCCAGGCAGGGCTTAAAGAAACCGGGTGGGTACAGGTGCCCATCACATTCTCCTTCTGGTCCTTGTTTGGGGTACAGGGGATGGTGAATGAGGCCGTCTTTGGAGGGAGGAGAGTTCGCCTCACCTAGGCAGGGCCTCTGTTCCTCCCCACCATGGAGGCTCAGGAACTTGTATCTGCCTTCAGGAAGAACGTGGAGAAACGCTGGCTGCTGGAAAACATGGACGGAGCCTTTTTGGTGCTGGATGAGATTGTGGATGGCGGGTGAGCAAGGGGTGCCTTTGAGGGTCATCAGCTCCAGATGACACCCAGCACCGTGTTGGGTTCTCTGACCAGTTTCTCCCTCTTCCCCCAGCATATTCCCAGGGATTCCATTCCCTCACCCTTTCTGCTTATGGACACTCCACTCATGGAGTGGAAGGTGATTGACTGATTGATTGATTGATTGGTTTTTTGAGTCAGAGTCTCACTCTGTTGCCCAGGCTGGAGTGCAGTGGCATGCTCACGGCCACCCCAGCCTCGACCTGCTAGGCTGAGGAGCTCCTTCCACCTCGGCCTGCCAAGTAGCTGGAACTACAGGCATGTGCCACCACACCCTGCTAATTTTTAATTTATTTATTATAGAGATGAGATCTCTCCAAGATGCCTACGCTGGTCTCGAACTTGTGGGCTCAGGCAATCCTCTTACCTCAGCCTCCCAAAGTGTTGGGATTATAGAAATGAGCTACTGCACCCAGGCTAGAGAGCGATTTCAATGTTAGCCAAAGTCAAGGCAAGCAAGAGCAATCTGCTGTCAAACGATGGCAGAATTGAATGGGTGGGGCTTGAAGGAAATCCAGCTTGATCTCATGTCCCAGGAAGCACTGGCACGGCCGCTGGCTCTAAGGCTGCTGGCTCTCTCTGAAAGGACAGAGTCCTACCAGTCCCAGGTCTCCCACTCTTAGAGCTCAACCTCAGTACCAGCCAGGTGCTGACCTGGGTCAGTTACTGACACTCCCTGAACCTTACCTTCTCTGTCTTTAAGATGGAGATGACAGGCCAGGTTCGGTGGCTCAGCCTGTAATCCCAGTAATTTGGGAGGATGAGGTGAGTAGATTGCCTGAGCCCACAGTTTCGAGACCCACTCGGGCAACTTGGCGAGACTTCATCTCTACAATAAATCAAAAACTAGCCGGGCATGGTGGCATATGCCTGTAGTTCCAGTTACTTGGAAAGCTGAGGTGGAAGGATCACCTGAGTCCAGCAGGTCGAGGCTGAGGTGGCAGTGAGCATGCCACTGCACTCTAGCCTGGGCAAAGAAAAAAAAAAAAAAAGGAAAGAAAGATAGGATGATAAGGGAACTACCTCAGAGGACTGTGGGGATTAAATTAGAAAATGCATATAAAGCTGCGGTTCTTTCCTTCTTTTTTTTTTTTTGTTTTTTGAGTCAGAGTCTCACTCTGTCACCCATGTTGGAGTGCAGTGGTATACTAACCACCACTGCAGCCTCAACTTGCTGGGCTTAGATGATCCTTTCGCCTCAGCCTTCCAAGTAGCTGGAACCACAGGTGCGCACCACCACATCCAGTTTATTATTATTATTTTTTTTTGAGTTGGAGTCTCACTCCCTCACCCAGACTGGAGTGCAGTGGCACGCTCCCGGCCACCGCAGCCTTGACCTGCTGGGCTCTGGCGATCCTTCCACCTCAGCCTTCCAAGTAGCTGGAACTACAGGCACGCGCTACCACTTCGGCTATTTTTGTTTTAATTGTAGAGATGAGGTCTCACCAAGTTGACCGGGTGGGTCTCGAATCCGCGGGCTCAGGCAATCCACTCACCTCGGCCTCCCAAAGCGCTGGGATTACAGGCTGAGCCACCGAGTCTGGCCTTATTTTTTTATTAATTGTAGAGACAAGGTCTCGCCATGTTGCTCAGGCTGGTCTCAAACTCCTGAGCTCAGGCAATCCTCTTGTCTCAGCCTCTCAAGTGCTGAGATTACAGGCGTGAGCCACTGTGCCCGGTTTAGCTGCAGTTCTTTCAATAGCTGTTATCTTCTATCAATAATGCTAGTACATTCTTAGGAAGTTGAGAGTCCTTATGAAAAAAAGATGACTAGTAGATTTCCAGGAGGGGACAATATTCAACAGGAAAAAGGAATTCTGGCTCTGGAATAAAGGATGATAGAAACTTCTAGGCCAGGGCCGAGTGTGGTGGCTCACACCAGTAATCTCAGCACTTCGGGAGGCCAAGACAAGAGGATTGCCTCATCTTGAACCCAAAAGGGAGTGTAGTAAGACCAGGTTTTGTGGGGTCAGAAGTATATTCAATTTGGTGAAGCCCTTTGAAGGAAAACTTGACACAACACAAATCTATAAATGCAAAGTGAAGTGCAAGGCCTTGGAAGGCTTGTATAAGGAGGATGCCTGAGGTGTGAGCTGCACGAGCTTCCCTGTCTCTGCCTCCAAGGAGCTCACAGTTTCCTGCCAAGGAAAACTGGAGAAGCACCTGCTGAGAGGCAACACCTGAACTGGTCTAGGCTGCTTTGTCTTTATCGGTTCTGGGTTAGGGATCCTGGAGCAGAGGGTGCCTAGCCCAGGGCTGGGGCCTGGCAGAGGCTCCCAAGAAATGTTTGTCATTTTTATCCAGTGGTTTGATAAAAAAGAAAAACTGCCAGGCGTGGTGCCTGTAATCCTGGCACTTTGGGTGGCCGAGAAGGGAGGATCGCTTGAGCCCAGGAGTTTGAGACTGCGGTGAGCTGTGACTGTGCCACTTCCCTGCAGTCTAGGCTACAGACTGAGACCCCGGCAACAAAACAAAACAAAACAAAACAAAAAACACTAAGCTCCTGCCCCTAAGGAGTCTTGTCAGACAGGGAGGAACACTCAGACCTTGTCATCTCTGACCTATCCACGGTGACAGGCCCTCAGTCCCTGTACACCCTGCACCCTCCCCATAAGGCCTCATGAAAGAGTGCTCGCCATCAGAGAAAAGCCTTGATATTCACGTCTATTACAAGAGATTGCTAGCCGGGCTCGGTGGCTCAGCCTATAATCCCGTGCCTTTGGGAGGCTGAGGTGAGTGGATTGCCTGAGCCCGCGGGTTCGAGACCCGCCTGGGCAACTTGGCGAGACCTCATCTCTACAATAAATCAAAAAATTAGCCAGGCGTGGTAGCATGCGCCTGTAATTCCGGCTACTTGGAAGGTGGAGGCGGAAGGATCACCGGAGCCCAGCAGGTCGAGGCTGCGGTGGCTGGGAGCGGCCACTGCACTCCAGTCTGGGCGACAGAGTGAGACTCCAACTCAAAAAAAAAAAAAAAGACTTTAAACAATTTTAAAGTGAAAAAAAGGGAGCAAGCAAGGTTGATCCTGGTTTTTGGAGTTCCATTTCATTTATGTACACCACAACTCTGTGGCATACAGTATAGCGAAATAAGCACGTGCCCTGGAGTCTCCCTTCCTTTGCTGTATCTGAGTCTCTTTGCAGGGAATCCTGCCCTAGACCCAGAAGGTGAAGTGAACATTGAGGAGCTCTGAGTTTTGCGGGTCTCTGCTTTTTCTTTCTTTCTTTTTTATTTTTTTAAAGTTGAGCAGGGCGTGGTGGCTCCAGCCTGTAATCCTAGCACTTGGGGAGGCCAAGGCGAGAGGGTTGCCTGAGACCAGGGGTTCGAGACCAGCCCAGGCAAGTTGGCGAGCCCTCATCTCTACAATAAATCAAAAAATTAGCCAGGCGTAGTGGCATGCGTCTATAGTTCCAGTACTTGGAAGGCTGAGGTGGAAGGATCACCTGAGCCCAGCAAGTTGAAGCTGCAGTGGCCGTGAACATGGGCAACACCCCAGCCCGGGCAACAGAGTGAGACTCCAACTCAAAAAGAAAGAAAGAAAGAAAAAGTTGAGGTCTTACTCTGTCGCCCAGGTTGGAGTGCAGTAGTGCAATCATAGCTTACTGCAAACTCAGACCCCTGGTCTCAAGCGATCCTCCTGCCTCAGCCTCCTGAGTAGCTGGGACAACGGGTGCATTCCACTATGCCTAGCAATTTTTTTTTTTATTCTTTGTAGAAATGAAGTCTCGCTATGTTGCCTAGGTTGGTCTTGAACTCCTGGGCTCTAGGAATCCTCCTGCTTCAGCCTCCCAAAATGTGGGATTACAGGTGTGAGCCACTGCACCCAGCCAAGCCTCTGCGTTTGGCAAGCTGACTGTTTTAGACTGGACTGCTTGCTCTCCCCCAGTTTCAAAGTTTTTGCCCAGGGATGACCCAGTGTGTGGACTACTGGGTTGAAGTGTCGAAGGTCAGAGCTGCAGGCCCTTCTTGCTGAGGGAGAGTTCTGACTTGAGAACTGTCAGCAGGAAGAGATCCTGGCAGGGAGGATGTTGCAGGATGCGTCAAAGAGAGGGAAAGGCTTGGCAGAGAGAGGGGACGGAGAGGAGGATCATGTCACCGATTTCCCCCCGGCCTTTCTCTCATTCTGTAGCGTCATTCTGGAGAGTGACCCGCAGCAAGTGATCCAGAAGGTGAATTTCAGGGTAAGAGCCTTCCTGCCTGTCCCTCACTCCCATCTCCAGGCTGTCCTTTCTGGCCTCCACCTCCTGTCCTCCCTGGGCTTGAGTCTCCCAGGGCTGAGCTGGTGGAAACCTGAGCATCTCTGGCAGAATTTCAAGCAGGGGGTCTATGCGCTTGCTGGGGGTTGGGTGGGTGGGCTGCAGCTTGGGGGTGGAACGCCAGTTAATAGAAAAGATGGGCCTGTCCTCTCCCCAACTAGCAGCACAGGCCCCTCACCTCCTCCCCAGGAGGAGGTACATAGACTGGGAAATAGGTAAGTCCTCAGAAGACACCAGGTGGCTGCCTGAGCTGGAGACTGGGGGCGGGGGTGCAGAGCGACCTTCCCTGCCTGGCTGGACTTCCTCGTGCCTGGATGAAACCTTTCTTCCCATCTTCCTTCACCCTCCATGCACCATGGCAGAGTCCCAGGGGTCCTGGCTTCCAGGGATGGGCTGCAGGACCTCTACTACCTGGTGACATAAATGCACTTCTGGGTCACCCAACCGCTGCACCACCTCCCCCTCATCCCTTTCCTTCGCCTCCCTGACCCTCGCTCTGGCCTGACCTTGCCCTCTGGTTCTGCTTCCTCAGGCAGATGACGGCGGCTTGAGTGAACAGAGTGTGGCCCAGGTAGGCCCCCGACATCTGCCTTGGACAGAAATGGGCAAGAGGAGAGCAGAGCACCCTAGGGGACCCCCCAAAGGCTCTCAAGGCTGAGAAATCAGGGTTGCCGGAGGGAAGGGAGACAGGAGACGTGGTGATGGGCTGTCTCTGGGAGAGACTTGCCAGAAGCTTCCAGGCTCTCCACGGCGGGGGGAGTTGGTACCGATGAATGGGTGGATGGGCGTGTGGCCATCAGCCCAGCTCACCTCCTGAACCAGGATGAGCTGCCCACCCTGGAGGTGGCTGGGTCACTTGTCTCCCCCCAGAATCTAGGGGCTCAGGCCCCTGATCCTCCCCCAGGCCTGGAAAGGGCACCAAATAGGAGTTTGCCTCAAACCCCCACCGCTGCCATTAGGGTCACGTTGGGATTGTTAAGGGATCTCAAAGCCATGATGGGGTCTAACGCTGCCCCTGCCTTACTTGCCACCCTGAGTGACCTGGCTGTGGAGAAGCCCACCCTTGCTGCACCCCCGCATGGTCCTATCTGGAGGTGCATGGGGAGCACCCCCGCATGGTCCTATCTGGAGGTGCATGGGGAGCAGGGGACCCGGGAGCTCCTGCATCTGAGGCCTGCTGGGCTTCCCAGCTGCACACACTGCTGCGAGTCAGGCCAATTGTCGTGACCTCTGTCTGTCTGCCCGCAGGTCTCTCTGCTCAGGCTAATTCTGCTTGTGTGGAACTTCCTGTCCTGGCACTAACTCCCTCCTGCCATGGTGGCGCTGCCGAGATGGGCCTGTGCCACCCCCTGTGGAGCCCTAGGTGTGGTGCCCGCTATCCCGCGCTGCCCTTGGTGCTCGCTCTGCCTCACTCTCCCTTCTGGTTCTGTCTCCTCATTCCCTGCTGGAATGAATGCAGCTGCATGGCAAGTTTCAGGGCGGAAGAGGTTGGGGCACTCAGCAGAGCAGATAAGAACACAGGTGCTTGTGTGAGTCATCCCAGGGTGCGTTTTCCACCTGAAGCTGGGTGACCCAGGACAGGTTACTCCATCTCTCTGGGCCTCAATAACAGAGACTCCTCATTCAGTAATTTTATTTATATTTTTGAGTCAGGGTCCCAGTCTGTCGCCCAGGCTGGAGTGCAGTGGCAAGATCATGGCTCACCACAGCCCCAAACTTCTGGGTTCAAGGGATCCTCCCATCTCAGCCTCCTGAGTAGTTGAGTCTACAGGAATGCGCTGTCACACGCATTGAGTTAGGATGAGAATTAGATGAGCCAGTGCCGACAAGCTCTTAGCATATCTCCTAGCAAGTCATACATGCTCAAGAAGTAACCATCATTTTTTCAAAGAGAGAAAGAATGAAAACATAGCATTTTTTTTCGAGTTGAAGTCTCGCTCTGTTGTCCAGGCTGGAGTGTGGTGGCATACTCATGGCCACCGCAGCCTCGACCTGCTGGGCTCCGGCCATCCTTCCGCCTCAGCCTTCCAAGTAGCTGGAACTACAGGCGTGCCCTAGCACGCCCAGCTAATTTTTTGATTTATTGTAGAGATGCAGTCTCACCAAGTTGCCCAGGCGGGTCTCGAACCCGCGGGCTCAGGCAATCCACTCACCTCGGCCTCCCAAAGTGCTGGGATTACAGGCTGAGCCACCGAGCCCGGCCTAAAACATAGTATTTTTAAGGGAATTATTGAGTAAAAATCAAGGAAGCTGAGGTAGCCAATGGTGGATCAAATGAGGAGAAAGTTCAACTTTGGCTAGGAGCATTGAGGAACCCCAGGCCGAGCTGTCCCCAGGAGAGCAGGGAGAGTGTGCTGGAGGAAGGAACACGCCCAGTGCTGGATGGTCCTTCTTAGGAAGGGAATGAGGCTTACCCCTTGCTGGAGGGGTAATCCGAGGGACACACCTGGAGGCCTCCTCCTGTGCTGGCTTTGCACCTGCACTTGGACAGATTCGTGCAAACGCCAGGTCCGAGACTGTTTCCGCAGCAGGGTGTGGCAGTGCAGGCCTCTGAGAACAGGCGGCCCGTGGCAGGGGCCGGCCGGCCAGCCTTCACCAGCTGTGCCACATCAGCGGCTTAGGGTGGAGAGCTGAGGCCACGCGGCGAGCCAAGGCCGGAGCTAGGGTTTGCTGAGGTGTCTGAGCGCAAGGAAGTGTCAGGCCTGGGCTGGATCTCTGCTGGGACGTGGCACTGTGGGCAGGAACTTGCACAGCACGACATGGGGGAGACAGGGCCGCTGTCACAGCTGCAGATGCAGGAGCCAGAGGCTGGGCAGGCACGAGGTGGGAGCCGGCTGAAGCCGATATGGCTGAACCCTTGCTGTCTTGAAGACCTGGCCCCACTGAAAGCAGGCAGAGACAATCGGCTGCCACCTAGTGACCGGAGGGTGGCACCGACGCTTGGGGAGGGTGGGCTGTGGTCCTCCCCATCACTGTGCGTTAAAGGCATTTGACCGTGCCCCCCTATTCTCTCTCTCAACCTCCCCTACCCCACCCAGGTTCTTCAGTCGGCCAAGGAGCAAATTAAATGGTCGTTATTGAAATGAAGGCTGTGGATTCAAGGCTGCCCGCTCCCCTCCCCCACCGTTTCCCTAATCCTGGCAAAAGCCCAAAGACCCCAGGGATCAGTAGAGACCCCTTGGCATCCCCAGGCTCCTCCCAGAACTGATTCCTGAGGTCAGCAACTCCGAGATGCAAAGGTTGGGCCCCAGCACTGAGTCACCCCTTTTCACCGCCCTGGCCTTAATTCCGATCTTAGGCATTCCTGGCCCCGGGGCCCTAATAAACCTGCTTCTGTCTCCTGCCGGGTCTCCTCTCTTGGCCCAGGAAGCGCGTGTGTGCTCAGATGAGGCCTCTTGTACTTTCTGTGGCTCGTCGCGGGGGATGTCCAGGTCCGGGTGGGTTGTGATCCTGTGGTTGTGTGACTGGGGAAAGGGGCGGATCAAGGGAAAGGAGACTCTTTGACACAGGGGTGCGAGCTGATACCACGGCGCCCTTTACGTGTCCCAGAGGGCCCGGCGAAAGGGAGGAATGGCGCGTGTGGCTGGGACAGGGAGAGCGAACGACGGTGCCCTACTCTGTGCGTGCTGCACACACGGTGGCGCCGCCGGGGATTCTTCGAGTCATGTTTTCCATTCCTGGCCTCCAGAAGGGAAGGGAGGAAGGCTTCCTCTGGACAAACTGAGGAACCGCATGTCTGTTTTGCTTGGCACGCCTGGGACCGCGCAATCCCTGTCCTGGCACACACCCTGGGCCCTAGCGCTCTGCAGGCT